GTAAAAAGGTAAAAAAAGCTCCTTGAGGAATATTTCTACCAGCTATTCTTATGCAAAGCTGACTGAGCCTTAAATAACAGTCTACCTCCGTTTTGTTTTGCAGCATGTTTCACAATACGAAAAACACACAATGCCGCATGTACAGACCCAATATCTGATTTAAAAACACGAGGACTTACATGCAAGCTTTACATTTCCAGTGTAGCAGACCCCACTGAGCATTCCTTACCTTTAACTCTAACCTCTTTTCTTCCTTTCTTGTCGTCTTTCTTACTTTTATCCATCTCTGAGCGAAGTTAGCTTTCTTTCTTTTCTCTCCATCAAATACAGCAGCTGGAGCTTTAGCTAGCAACACACTGTGCCACAAACTGGAGACACAAACGGTTTGTGTGTTTGCTGAGCTGATAGAAACTCTTAATTTAAAATTACCTTCTTGTTTTCTGTAGGGCTAGCTAGATGATGAAAACTGTGAAATAATAACTCCCGTCAGATCCGTTAATCCAAATTCAAAAATATGTTTAAAAATGTAGTGAGTAAAAGTAAAAAAAGTTGTAAGAAAAGTACAGATGCCTCAAAGTTCTACTTAAGTACAGTAATGAAGTAAAAGAAAATATCATGTTTTTGCTTATCTTTAAATTAGACTACGTTTTAAGTTTCTAGGAGAATACTTTTTATATGTGTAAGTTGTTAAGCCGTACCTTACTAAAACCACTAAATTAAGTGCTATATACTCATGGGAATGTACATGTATTAATTTGGTGATGCAGAAAATACATACAGTGGGGCAAAAAAGTATTTAGTCAGCCACCGATTGTGCAAGTTCCCCCACTTAAAATGATGACAGAGGTCTGTGGTACACTTCAACTGTGAGAGACAGAATGTGGAAAAGAAAAAAAAAAAATCCATGAATCCACATGGTAGGATTTGTAAAGAATTTATTCGTAAATCAGGGTGGAAAATAAGTATTTGGTCAATAACAAAAATACAACTCAATACTTTGTAACATAACCTTTGTTGGCAATAACAGAGGTCAAACGTTTACTATAGGTCTTTACCAGGTTTGCACACACAGTAGCTGGTATTTTGGCCCATTCCTCCATGCAGATCTTCTCGAGAGCAGTGATGTTTTGGGGCTGTCGCCGAGCAACACGGACTTTCAACTCCCGCCACAGATTTTCTATGGGGTTGAGGTGTGGAGACTGGCTAGGCCACTCCAGGACTTTCAAATGCTTCTTACGGAGCCACTCCTTTGTTGCCCGGGCGGTGTGTTTTGGATCATTGTCATGTTGGAAGACCCAGCCTCGTTTCATCTTCAAAGTTCTCACTGATGGAAGGAGGTTTTGGCTCAAAATCTCACGATACATGGCCCCATTCATTCTGTCCTTAACACGGATCAGTCGTCCTGTCCCCTTGGCAGACAAACAGCCCCATAGCATGATGTTTCCACTCCCATGCTTCACAGTAGGTATGGTGTTCTTGGGATGCAACTCAGTATTCTTCTTCCTCCAAACACGACGAGTTGAGTTTATACCAAAAAGTTCTACTTTGGTTTCATCTGACCACATGACATTCTCCCAATCCTCTGCTGTATCATCCATGTGCTCTCTGGCAAACTTCAGACGGGCCTGGACATGCACTGGCTTCAGCAGCGGAACACGTCTGGCACTGCGGGATTTGATTCCCTGCCGTTGTAGTGTGTTACTGATGGTGACCTTTGTTACTTTGGTCCCAGCTCTCTGCAGGTCATTCACCAGGTCCCCCCGTGTGATTCTGGGATCTTTGCTCACCGTTCTCATGATCATTTTGACCCCACGGGATGAGATCTTGCGTGGAGCCCCAGATCGAGGGAGATTATCAGTGGTCTTGTATGTCTTCCATTTTCTGATGATTGCTCCCACAGTTGATTTTTTCACACCAAGCTGCTTGCCTATTGTAGATTCACTCTTCCCAGTCTGGTGCAGGTCTACAATACTTTTCCTGGTGTCCTTCGAAAGCTCTTTGGTCTTGGCCATGGCGGAGTTTGGAGTCTGACTGTTTGAGGCTGTGGACAGGTGTCTTTTATACAGATGATGAGTTCAAACAGGTGCCATTCATACAGGTAACGAGTGGGGACAGAAAAGCTTCTTACAGAAGACGTTACAGGTCTGTGAGAGCCAGAGATTTTCCTTGTTTGTGGTGACCAAAACGTATTATCCACCCTGATTTACAAATAAATTCTTTACAAATCCTACCATGTGGATTCATGGATTTTTTTTTCACATTCTGTCTCTCACAGTTGAAGTGTACCTCTGGTGCAAATTACTGACCTCTGTCATCATTTTAAGTGGGGGAACTTGCACAATCGGTGGCTGACTAAATACTTTTTTGCCCCACTGTACATTTTGTTATACTTGATATTATTCTGCTCTTGAGTCTCTTTTACACTGCTAGTTTTGTAGCTAATAAAACAGCACACACACACACCAAGAATTTCTGTTCAATCAATACATTTAATTTCACTTGTGCTCAAAATTCTCATACGTACTGGATTAAACATTTCAATCCATCCAAACTGAATTCAAGATAAATCAATATTTTACATTGGCCCCATTATTTGTAAATACTTATTTGTAGTTTTTAGGCCACCCTGGTTTCCCTTCAAAATAGATCTAGAAGCAGTTTAAGTCCACTCATCCATTTTTAATTGCTGATCCTATCTGGGCTTAACAGTTCATCAGGGAAAACAGAACTATTTATACTTTCACATCCAGGCATCCAATTTACATACAAGTTTGTGTTTTTGGACTGTGGGAAGAAGCCAATGGAACCCCTGCAGGCTCAGGAATAACATGCAAGCTCCACACAAAAACCAACAGTTGACCAGGAGGTTTGAACCAGGAGCTTTCACTGCACCATTGTCCTCCAAGCGACGTTTGTGTGCATCAGTTCAAGTCAATGTGGAGTTAGATTCAGTCATTCTTGTGGATCTCTTTCTTCTCATTGTCTTCATTAAAATGCAGTTATATTCACGATTAGGTAAGTCCTTAACAATCTTCACTGCGACTCCACAAAGAAAGCTACTTTGCAAAGTGTATCTGAAAAGAAAAGAGAGAAAGATAATTTGTTTAATAAATAACAGTCACTTCTAGATCCATCAGAGCACTGGTCTCTGGCCAATGTGTACTCAATTATTAAAAGTGAAATTATATCAAGTTAAATTTTGCTACTTGAGCTGAATTTTAAAAGTGTTATGAATACTGGCCATAAAGGTAGGTCCCTTTATGATTGATTATAAGTGACAGAAAAAGAATATTTAAAGACGCCCTGTAGTGTAACGGGAAAAAAGTTTAAGTTTAAAGCCGTGATATAATATTTCCCGAATTATGTTTTTACAGTTGTTTTCTAATCTATTGTTTTCAAATCTTTACATGACTTTAGATATATGCTAGACGACAGTCTGTCAGTACTTGTGTTGTTCTGGATTTAAGTACATTTATAAACATTTTCAGCTTCTTTCTATGTTGAAAGAACTAGTCCATCATACAGCATTAATTACAGATGTGAACTGAATGGTATAGTGAAGTACAGGTCATATAATCTAAGGAGCTTGGAAAGAAAAGTTAAGTTGCTTGAAGACGTTTCACCTCTCATCCGAGAAGCTTCTTCAGTTCTAAGGGTCAAATGGTGGAGAGTCCCAGATTTAAACCCAGTGGGAGTATCCCCTCAAAGAGGGGCAAAGCAACTTAAAGAAGTCCAGACGCTTTTCTTTCCAAGCTACTTAGACTACAATGAAGTGTATAACTGAGAACCTTCACAGACATACTAGTAATATACATTTTACCTGTGATGTGGTCCTCAGCACTGGGAGACTCCAAGGAGTTCCACCTTTGGGGAGCAGATTCCAGAAGAGAGAGGTCATCTGCTCTCAGTGTTTGAAGCAGAGTTTTCCTCCTCAGGAATCTGAACACAAGAGTTGAGGGGAAAAAAATACCAGTATATAACATAAACATCCAAAACTGAAGAGAGAAAAGGATACTGTTGCCGATAGTGACGCTCAGCATCCTGAAGCCACTCGAGCATGTCAGCAACCGACGGGGTGGTGGTTGATCGCTCAGTTACTGCAAGCAGATCTAAACTGTGTGCGTTCTGCTCGTACAGATGAAGGATTGAAGCAACCTGGTTACTGATAGCATCCCTCGCAGACTGGAGGGAAGACCTGAAAGAAAGAGGAAAGGAAAGAAGGGAGTGTGAGATAAAAATTATAGTATAATATATACTTTAAGCATACTCTGAGCAGCTTCTGCAAACTGGTACTAATAAGGTTCTTCTCCAAAGATCCATTTACTTACTAAAAAAAATAAACTGATCTTTATTACTAAAAAGGATGTAGCTGTACTCCTGTCCGATCAAACATACATAGTTGGATGTGAATACCAATAACGCAGCATCCTCATCAGATATAAAAGCCGATTTACTCACATCTTCTCGTTGAGTTTTCCCAGCACTATATCCGTTGCTTCAAGGAGCTTAAAGCGGAGTCTCTCCTCCAGGTCAGGAAAACCTCTGAGCGGTGTGTTGGAGATCTGCACGTTTGACAGTGCTCTCGACTGCTCCGCCAAATTCCCGAGAGACACCATCAGAGGGCTGCACTCGGCTAAAACACTCTTCCATACTTTTTGGTTGCTTTCAAGTGTCGCGAAGCTTTTCCTCAGAGCCTGATGAAGCGTAGCTACCGCAAGCGTGGACATTTCAGCAAACGATTTCAGTACTTAGGTGTTCAAAGGGAAAAATACGAAATACATTAAGTCAGCTTTATGTCTTATTTTCCATGAAGGCGACTTTATGAAAAATGACTTTTAAATTATTCTTCCCGCAGCTACAGAACATCACATTTCTACCATGTTGCCTGAACCACTTCCGTTCTCTTGATGTAAACACTGACGTTCGGCGCTACGATAGGCTGAAAACAAAGTTGTTGCGACGCATGGCACATGCGCGTCCTAATTGGCTGATCTGGTGTGTTGGCCCCTCCCCGCGCGAAGATTTGAAAACGGCTTTGTGAAGGAAGGAAGGCGAGTGTCGAGGACGAACAGGAAAAACACATTTAGGTAATGATATATACTTTAAAAAATGTATGTAAATACATCTCGGGACAGTTATTTAAAAGACCATAACACATATTGGTAGATGTAAACACAGCTGTCGAAAATAAGGTCAGAAAATAAGCGTTAACTCAGCTAAAGCTACTCGCTAACGTTAGCTTCACCAACAGTTAGCCGCATGTAGGCTGATTTTTTTGTTTTTGCTTTCTTTTGTTCCCGATTAAGGCCACAATGTTAACATTTCATGGTGTCTATGGGGTGTTAATATACCACACTATACTGCACTACACTGTACTGTAGTAGGGTATATTGTAATTACTAATATACTCCGTGTCCGTCAGAAATGGCTCCCAGGAAAAGGACCACCAAACAACGCAAAAATAACCCCAAGACGGCAAAACTGGAAGCTTTTATGGAGGATTTTGACAGCGAGGGTGATTATTATTACTATTTTTTAACTCACCATAGAAATGCTACAGAAATACTCCCTGTTCTTTTTTCGGTTGCTCACTTTAGGAGTCGCCACAGGAGAACATTTTCTTCCAGCTCACTATATCCTTAGCATCCTCCTCTGTCTTACCAACCCTCTGAGCGTCCTCCTTCACTGCATCCATGAACCTTTTCTACTTTTCCTCCAGCTTTGGCGCTCAATATTCAACATAATTTGTCCAGTATTTCCACTGTCCCCCTCTTTGCACATGTTTATGACATCTGAGTCCTGCCTCTCTAACTTTGTCTCCAAACCACTCAACTTCAACCATCCTTCACATGTACTAATTTCTAATCTGTCCTTTCTGGTCACTACCAATGGAAATCTTGCCTTCACTCTTGCTGCTAACCTACTGCCACAAATCACCACTGATGCTAACATCCATCCACCCCACCCTGACACTGTATAACTTAAGCTGAATTGACAATGTATAACTGAAGCGGAACTCAACATTTGTGTTTCTGCAGTGAAGACTAGAGTTGGACAGGTGAAAGAGAAGATAAACCAGATGTTGAAAGATATTGACAACAGCTACAACATGGCAATAATTAAGCTCCCCAAGGCTGTCAGACAAATGAACTGGTTGGAGCATTGGAGTAAGTATACATAGATTTTTGACTAACAAATCCCAAATCTATAAAGAAGAAATGCTCTTGAGCCACAGAGACTTTTACAGCATTCTGCTTCCTATTTTTAAAAAAGCTAATGGTACATTTTCAAAAATCTGTGCATTTGATCTTGATTGAATTTCATTTTTAAACAGCATTAAATAAAGAATATTTACATCTCTGCAGAGTCTGAGAAACCACAAACACCAGAACTCGATAATGCAAAGGTCAGTTGATTAGCCTTCTTAAATTATACTTAATATACGTTAAGTATATATAAGTTTCATGCTCGTGCAAGGATGCTCTGTTCTGCATAAACACTCAGTTATATTTGCTTTTATAGAGAAAAGAGGAAGCTGCACTCGTGGAAAGTGTTGTGGCTAAGGATCATACATCTCTTCTAAAAACAATTGAGAAAAGTGAGTTAAAAGTAGTTTATACGTTTCCCTTGAAACAAGAAAACCATTTCCCTTTAGCCAATGCAATTTGTTTTGTCCAATCCACAGCATTAAAGAAGAAAGGTGGGGCTACATTGAGCTCTGAGGATGAAAACGTCCCAAGCACAACAAAAAAGGTAATGACTGCTTTTCACACAGTCATACATGAGAGCAACTACATACAGCTGTTGTTATGCAGGATCCTCTGTTTGCTTCTTTTGTGGTGTTTTAAATGCTTGTTTATAATTTAGGGGAGAACTACCAGAAAGCCCCCGACTAAAACAAAGAGGGCAAAGGCGCTGTCGATCAGCAAGCAGAGCTCCACCATCAGACGGTAAGCTCTTTTACTTTTTGTATTGTTCTTTTTCTTTCTTTCTTTTCTTCTTCTTTCCTCCCATGCTAAAAACTTTTGGAAGCAAGTTTGGTGGCTAACAAATGTGATGCTACCACATTGTCATTGTTTGGATTCAGATCAAACAGGAACCCCCTGATTACTCCTGCCAGAAGCTTGCTCGATTCTTCTGTGATGATGGGACCCACTCCTCTTATTACCCCCCGCTTTGACCCAAGGTACACCTTAGAATTATACTGTGTCACTCTAAAGATGGTGTTTCTGTCAATGGCAATTAGTGTTCTAGTTGATTGAGAGGGGAGAAAACGTATTTATAAAACAGTTAAAAAAAGGATTCAAAATTGAGCATAAGATACTAGACTCACATACTGGTCAGGTTAGTTTGCTGTGTGCAGTGCACCAGTCGTCCTCACAGGTTGACATCTACACCTGTGCTGAATGTGGTTATTCAGTGCAGCTCACTGAAGACTTCTGCATTGTTATGTCTTTATATTCAGTGGTTTATTACTGAGACATAGTACTGAGATATTTTTGCTAGCACAAATTCATTTACAGTTCATGCTGAATAGATAGTGATTCTGTGAAAACATGGGCAAACAGACAAACAAATGCTCAAAGTATTGTATTAAAGCTCAGGCTTCTCGTTAAAGCAAAATCTCTGCTCTCATAGAGCTGTAAGTGGATCTAGTGTCTTTGAGTGTTAGAAAGTGTGTGGGGACTGGAGACTTGCTGTAATCTGGCTGCCCCTGCTATTTACTCTGTAATGTTGACATTTCCTACAAAGAAGGCTTCATATTACTCACTACACCTCAGGCTTCCCAAGACCCCCGCAGTGAGAGTTCCCCGCCACAAGGAGAGGGTCTATAGCATTTCAGTCAACGGCTCTCCCATTGCAGCAGGAAATGAGGATATTGTCATCAATGTTCCCGTTGGGAATGGAGAGGTGAGTGCACATTTAGTCAGGCTCAGAGCTTCAGGTACTATTGATCAGTCAGTTGTTTAAGAAATGATTTTAACAAGGCAGCAGAGGAAACGATATTTACTGAAGAAATTTAGATGTCTATTTTCAGGAAGATAAAACATTGAATACTTTGTTATATATGGTTTATTGAAAATGAGCTTAAAGATGCATTAAATCAGCCTTCAAGTCTTCTGCTTTCATGTTGATTTTATACTGCGTTTATGTTGATGACTGTTTAGTTACATTTGATGACTTCATGGCTTTTGAGTAATTAATTGTCTAACAAAACTCTTGATTAGAAGGCTAATTCTCAAAAACTAAATCACTAACACAAGTGTCCTTAACATATTGATCCAGAGCATTCAACTGCTGGCCAGTCAGATGGACTCAGTAGATCTGTCACTGCTGGACGAAACCGCCATGAGGAGCATTCGGCAGCTGCAGGTAAAAATTCCAGCAGGACAGCATTACTTGCAGTTTCATCAGCTTTTCGTCACTGTTTTGTTGCAGCTTTAGCCAAATTTTGATGTGAAATATTTGCATATGCTTTGATTCTCATCATTTCTTTTTATTTTTCCCCAACAGAATCGACTCACAACATTGTGTGGGACATCAGAGTGACCAAACCGTCTGCCACGGACTTGTACTATACTTTTTTTTTTTTTTTAAACACAAGTTTTATCTCTATTTTAAAGCTTTCTTTTCTACAATGTGGCATTTTTTTTCTTCTTCTTTTTTGCCTTTATACAGATTATACTTTAACTAATACTTTAGGATACAGTGTAAGGTTAATATTTGTTGCGCTGGACACTGTTTTCTTGAGATCCTTCACATTCACTGGAATTAATCTAGGAGTTAAACTGTTCATTTCATTGTATTTACATTCTCCTAAATGATCTCTTTACTTAAAAAAAATGTAATTTTATGTAGTTTCAGATGCTTTTTTGTTGCAGGGGAAATTGGATAGATTTTAGTGCTATTCCAGTCTTTTATTCCTGGCCAGTCTGGATTTAATGGATCTTAATAGGACTTGCATGATAATATCCAACAGAAACATGCAGTATGTGCTTATCAGATACAACTTTCTCTTTATTCTTTTTTTTTTTTAAGTACATTTTCTGATATTATTTGTGTGGTTTGTCATTGCTGCAATAAACCCCCTCCATGTTTCTATCACTAACCTTGTAGTTACATCAATAGTTAAAATATATACGTCGTGTACATCGTGCACTCTGTCTTCATAACTGTGTGATGTGGTTATTTTCTGGTTTATTGGGGTTTTGTATTCTTAAATATAGCAGATGGCATGTTTGATTTTTATCTTAATTATGCCATAATGTGGAAATTCGTTTTTTCTTTCTTTCAGTGGACAGATTTTTTTTTTGAAGTTGTATCTGTGCATAGTGACCAGTAGGTGGCAGCATTTCACCACAGAAATATTTGTCAGGCACCTAAACAGCCTCTGCTCTTTTTTTCTTTTTTTTATTGTTAAAGGGGAAAAAAAAGATTTCTGTATCCGATCAAACTTTTATAACTGCTTGTTATTTACTGGTAGCAAATTTTTATATGTTTGTTGATTTTTATTTTATAATCTGTAAAGTTATAGGTGACGGTATTCTCTCTTGTATTAGATTACACTGTCAAGCATGATTTATACTGGTGATATTTATTTTACATCTTTGTTTTCCAGTTGTGAGGCTGCAGCGTTGTTTTCAAACCTCACCACAACTTTTTATCTGTAAGCTACCACACTCTTTTTGCTTATGTAAGAAGTTCCTCTTGCCCTTTCCCGACTTTGTTTACACAAAGGGATATTAGTCAGTCACGTGATTGCTCTTGGCAGGAAGTGAAAGCCTTTCCTGCTCTTGGCACAGGAACCTGCACTCTGACCTTCGGGGACATCATAACGCTGCCAATTAGAAGCTTGTTAAGCTTCGTTAGGCCTGATGAGCTCATTAGGGTTTCCACCTGGGATGGTGAACTAGGTCAGGCCGGGTCTCACCTTGGGCCCAGGTAGACAAGCATAACTCTGCTGCTCGTGGTGGATTCTCATGCATCATATGCTACCAAGGCACAGCATGGGAACTTTGTGCCCCCCAACTGAAATCGGGCCGGGTCTCTTCCATCTGTATCCATCTTATGTACTTTATCATCTCCTGTCTCTTGCCGTGCAAACTGTGCTGCAAAGGTAAAACCAAACTCTGCATCAGTGAAAACGACAGATGTTGTGGTCAACGGTGCGTGCAGTTCAGCTCCCTTGTTAGCAGTGGGCCAAGGCCTCGCGCACCTGCTCTATATATCATAGAATTTTCCTTGTTTTGCCTCTGAATGGATTGGATCCTTTTTTTATTCTCTAGGTGAGTAGAAAATTGCCATTTTGCATGGATGGCTTGCTTTTCAGTAAGCATGCAGGCTGTGGCGCAGTGACAGGTGCGGTATGGATGGGGCGGATTTTGAGGTCACAGAGCAACACTACTACATAAATCATCCACTGAAATGTTCAGGTTGAGGGATTGGAACCTGAGATAGTGGGAAGGGAAGAGTGAGTGCAAAGATGCTTCAACATAACAAGCAACTCTGCATTAATGCTCAGTCTGTGGAAGTCTAGATTCACCTGCCTTTTACTTCCAAAGAAAGGTACTTAAGAATTTAAAGCAGGCCCATCATATTTATCCTTAGTTTCTGTCATATATACATATATATATTTACTTTAACAATGGTGGATGCATATACATGTTCAAGCGCATCTTCAAATAATAAAAAGAATCCCTTCTTTCAGGCTATCTGAGGCTGCTTTAGAAGCTTGATTTCGGATGTCTGTATGATGTCAAAGACAGCAGATATTCCCAATCTGGTCACCACAGAGGCCTTTTCAATTAACTCCTCCAGTCAGAAGAAAGTTGGTTGAAGGCAGAGGTGCTAAAACCGATTGTTTTAGACAATGGATTAACTGAAGGCCCAGTAAATGAAGATTATTTTGACCTTTTAATCATCCAAAGCTACTCTGCAGAGCCCATGCACTGAAAATACTCATCTTGAAATGAACAGACCACATCCTGTTAAAGTAACATTTGTGCAAATTTCATATGGAAAATCTTTTTCTTTTTTGAAAGACAAAGCTTCAAATAATTTTAATATTCATAATTTTAATTTATATTAAAATTGAAATTTAATTGTAATATTTATAATTTTAATAATTTTTAATATTTAATATTACTGCATAAATAACTGACTGTATACAGAAGATAAAAAAAGACATCTTTTGTTTTAAGTTGCTTAAATCTGCATTTCCATCTTCTCATTATAGTTCCATTTACAGCAAAAGGAGGAGAAAACACTGGAATATTTACAGTGAACTACTCTGCGACTGACATACTGTATGAGTGTAGAGGTGGTGGAGGCAGCATCAAAAGTAAAATGAATATTGGCCTTATATGCTATACTGCTAGAAGTATTCACTCACCCATCCAAATCACTGAATTTAGGTGTTTCAATCACTTCCATGGTCACAGGTGCATAAAATCAAATACAGAAGCATGCTGCTTCTACAAACATTTGTGAAAGAATGGGTTGCTCTCAGGAGCTCACTAAATTCCAGAGTGGTCCTTTTATGAGACACCACCTGTGCAACAAGTCCATTCCTGAAATTTCCTCACTGCTGAATATTCCACAGTCAGCTGCTAGTGGTATTATAATAAAGTGGAAACAATTGGTAATGACAGCAAGTCAACCACAACGTGGTAGGCCACGTAAAAGCGGGATCAGCAGATGTTGAGGCGCATAGTACACACAGGTTGCTAATTTATATAGCATGGGGTTGTTTTTCAGGAGTTGGCCTCTTAGTTCCAGTGAAAGGAATTCTTAATGCTTCAGCATAACAAGAGACTGGACAATTTGATGTTCCCAACTTTGTGAGAACAGTTTGGGGATGGCTCCTTCTCACCAGTGCACAAAGCAAGGCCCATAAAGACATGGATGAGTGAGTCTGGTGTGGAAGAACTTGACTGATCTGCACAGAGTCCTGACCTCAACCTGATAGAACATCTTTTGGGATGAATTAGAGCTGTGACTGCAAGCCAGGCTTTTATCACTGTCATCATCAGTGTCTGACCTCACAAATATGCTCCTAAAATTCCCATAAACACACTCCTAAACCTTAGGGAAAGCCATCCCAGAGAGTTGAACCTGCTATAGCTGCAAACGGTGGGCTGACATCACATTAAACCCTATGGACTAAGAATGGGATGCCACTGAAGGCGATGTGAAGGCAGACAAGCAGGTGCTTTTTGCAGTACAGTGTATTTGTTGGGTCCATGGTGTAATGCTGTGTAAATTAGCCAGCTGTTTAATAACACATACACATCGTGCTGGCTTAATGTTCCACAAGATGTTTTTACCTCTCTCTTTGTCCTGTAGTTCCTCTTAAAACCCCATCCCCCACCAATCCAGCATTGAAAGCTTAACCTCACCCACCTAACCCCCCCTTTCCCTTTCTCATTTTGCATTCCCAAAATCCGTTATCGTTAAAATGTGCCTGACACATGGATGTGGCATATTCCTCAACAAAGCTGTTTCCTCCCCAAACCGCTGCAGCCGTTCGTTAATTGAGCCCCCAGACCTGGGGAAACTGCCAAACTCCCCGCCAAGACGAATGAACCTGGCAGAACCATGTTCTCCCAGCAAAATTAATTCTCTGGTGCGTCGAGACCTCCTGTAAATCCCATCCGTCAAGCGCTCTGCTAATCGATTTATTCACATGCCCACACCTCCGTCTGCCGCGGTCTTTTATACTGAGCCAGCCAAGGGTCGAGACTCATCTTTTGTTAAGTTGGTTTGTCAGCACAAACCAGAAAAAGTGTCGCTGAATGCTTTGTTATGTCTGCTTCGGTGATGGAGAGTTACGAGGACACAAGCTGATGGTAAAGGGAAGTGGCAGACGGGAGGAAGAGGTAAATGGGACTTAACAGCCCCCACATGATGCATTCTGGGCATGCGTTCATCTGGTGGCCAGCAGGGTCCTGATGGCATTTTGATGGGCGGCCTCTCCGTCACTCAGGCACCCGCAACGATGGGCAGGGTGGAGAGGAACATCTGCTGCCAAAAAAAAGAGGGAAAAATTCCTGTGGAAAGAAAATAACAGGATACCCTGAGGAGAGGTGGGAAGTTAATGCTGTTTGCTGATTGCACAGAGACAAACTTTTGCTTGAGAAGCCTCTTGATGGCTTTGAAATTCAGATATCTATTTGCACTAAATACGAAAACAAGACCTAAGTATTAAACCCATTCTGCCATTTAGAGATAGAAAACATTTTTACCTGTATAGTTGTCAAGTGCTTTCTCGTGCTAGGGTGTCAGATACTGCTGTTCTGGTCTGATCAGCAGAGGTGTGCTTTGGCATGGATTTCCTGGCACACTAGTAGTGGCATTATTGGACAGTGACTGTGCTATTTAACTCATCAGTGCCAGCTCCAACTCTAACCCCAACTCTACGCAATCAGAATATCACATTTATCCTTCATTGTTTTCTTTTTCATTTTATCAAATGATTTGTTTTTGATCAGGAAAACCACATGTAGTTTTTCATAGGGAATTTAAAAGTAGAATGGGAGGCCGAGCCTTCAGTTTTCAGGCCCTTCGTCTGCGGAATCAGCTCCCGGTTTGCAACTGAGACACGGACACTTTCTCTACTTTAAGATTAGGCT